GTTTCAACACCCCTCTGAGGTAAGGACATACTATTCCCATTTTACAGGTGCAAAAAGGCAGGCTGACAAAAGGTAGGATTTGCCTAATATAATAAAGGAAGTATATGGCAGAATCAGAGATAAAATCATCAGGACCTATCTTCTTAGCATATATTCTTGAAGAGGTTTTTATAGTTTCCTGCGCTGTTGTGTGACATGTCAGCACTAAGAATTATCCAGAAGAGCCACAGCAATTTGTCTCACTAGAAGTTACGTTCAGACCACTTCATTTCATGCAGTCACTGCCAGAAGTGATGTTCAGTTATAGGGGCCTGATCTACACTATAAAGTTTTACCAGAAAAACCTTCCTTGCGTCAGCACTTTATTGTATGCTTCCATACTTAAAATTGAGTCCTGCCAACAAAACCCTCAACCACTTATGACGCTCAAGTTAAACCAGTTCGGTGAGCAATATAAGCCCTCTGTCAGTATAGTTCTACAAGCACAATGCCTGCATGGAAGCAGAAGTACCTGTACTGATGTAAGCAGTCCTCTAGCAACAAGCAATGATTGCTCTGGTTGAGCTTTTGAACTCTGCTGCCTAGTTAAAGCCGTGCAAATCTGCAGATATCCGCTTTAGATCTGTGAATGCAGCTATCCACAGTCCATGTTTGCAAATCAGGTGCAGATACACATTTTGTATCCACGCAGGGCTCTAGTCACTGTGACTGGAAGTCTTCCTCCTGTTTAAAATCCCCAGCCCTGGAAATGCCTATTTTCTGCCATTTCTACAAGCATGACTCCAGCTCACCCGCCTGCTGCTGCATGACCCAGGAATGAAGTCCTAGATTTCCTCAGGTTGTGGGGAGAGGAAGGTGTGCAGCAACAACTGCAGCATTCCCACCAGAATAAAGATGGGCACGCTGACACCGCAAAAATCCATGGAGATCATGGGGTACAGCAGAGATGAGGATCAATGATAGGAAAAGGAGGAGGGGTTGCAGCAGGTTTATCCTAAGTCAAAGGAGCAGAGCCCGCAAGACCTGCCCCTATGATGACCAGCTTGATGGCATACTGAGTGGGGATCTCACCAACACCTTGAGACTTTGGACACCCCAAAGACTCCAGGGGAAGACCCTCTGGAACTGGCAACCCAGGAGATCACTGAGAACGGGGATACAGATTGTGCTGGGATAGCCAAGATCTCTTCAAGTCCGAGCTGGACCCGCAGAGCTAATCAGTGAGGAAGTGGACTCTGGTAGGTGCAATTTAATAGGACTCCCCATAAATGCAGACCATTTTGTTTATCTTTTCTAGGTCCCCCAAAAACACTTTGCTACACCTTTCCCCCCATCAAAACGGTGACCAATTGTGCATGGGGCCAAAGGAAGTCTGTCTTCAACTAGCTGCCTTATTTTAAAAGCATGAAGTGGCTGTACTATGCAATATGCAGTCAAAAAGACTGTAAAAACAGCCAAAAAGCATTACCAAATACATACTTTTACAGAAAATGCTTGCTTACAACCCACAGAAAGCCACATTTAATGGACACAAAAACAGAGCACTTCCATGGATTTCAAAGTGAAAGTCTACATACAACTTACAGATCTTTCAGAGAAAGCAGTTACTAAGCACGTCCAAGTGTGTACATTTACAGACCAGGGTTACATTTTAAAAACCCCAAAGAAGGTGAAAATGTGTGATCAGCTCAGGTTTTGGCTTGGACAGGCTAACTTCACTAGCCAGCAGTCACAGGGCACTTGTGCTGCTGTTGAAGAAGCTGGTTTACTTTAGCATATGAAACTTTTCAGTCCACTGGCTCATCACGGAATTTTTCCAGCAATTAGCATTTAACTTTTGCTAGGACATTTTTAGGCAGAGCTGCCTTTGTTTCTCCCACCACAATAGGTAATCTCCCCACACCACTCTGTAAGGACCTCTTCAGGTATCATTGCTGAGAAGAGCTCAGAAGCATGACTCCAGGTAACAGCCAGAACTCTAAAGCAGTTCCCGTCTATGCCCTCATGATTAATACATCCTCATGGCTCATGACTGCCTGCAGTAAGTGTCGCAGTCTTTACTACACCTGAAAGTGTACTGTTAAAAATTAATGAAGGAGTAGCGATTGTGAACCTGTTTGTTTATTTTAAACAGCCCAAGGGAAGAAGTACAGAGCTGAAGTACTTATCTTCTGTCCTACCTCCCCACCCCACACCTAACACTCTCTCTCTGTTTATCAGTGACCTCAATGGCAGTATACTTAAAACTATGTCCTTTTTACACCAGCTGACAGCCTAAGCATGATAAGAAGGAAAAGGAAACTGACAGGGAAGACAGTCTCCAAATTGGTGCAAAGTGCTGAGTCTGGAGCAAGTAAGACTGGTGAATGGAGGAAGCATATGCTGGAGGGGATAAATACAGACAAAGAGATGCACCAAGACACACTGCAGCTGTTGAAACAGACTCGGCTGCTAGAGCATATTATGGATCAAAGCACCCGAAGATCAACTCCACAGCAGCTACTCCACAGCACGGAGAACCACCTGGCAAGAGCATGAGATACTGGGGCCCACATTTGTAAAATTTCAACTGGTATTCTATTGTTTAACAGTTTGATTAAAAGTGTGATTAATTTTTTTGAATTAGCTACGATTAATTGACATCCCTAGGCATTGCTGAGCTCAGAACCTACTGCGCTCAGCACCAACTCTAGCTCAGGCCAAACACCCCTCTCCTCAAAACTCCAGTCCCCCCAAGCAGCATTATCCTTTCATTTAGCTCCAGTGGACAATAATGAGAACTGATTAGACTACACCAACTGCAACCTCTCAGTCATGCAGTTGAGTGTGGACAGTACCTTGCACTTACTTTCTTGTAAGCGGTACCTAATAAAAACCCAGATTTCCTGTGTCTTACAATATAGAGATGTGGAACCCCCCACCCAAAAAATAAATTGATAAACCAGCTAAATTACTGTCTGGGTACTGCAAGATGTGTCTTAAAGCTTCCCTTACCAGCACAGAACTTGCAGTGGCCTTAGTAATTAGCGTGGTCTCAAGCTACTCAAAAGCAACAGATGGCCTGTCCACCTCATCCCTCCAGCAGCACCTGGTCAGCTTCTCCGGTGATTTGTGTGGCATCCATGTTTTTGGCAGTGAGATGGAAAAACAGCACAAAACACAGTAGATTATAGGAGGGAACAGAGTGATTTGTAGAAATTTGTCCCCAAGTTCCTGTAATTCCCTAGAGAAGTGATCGTATCAATGGCAGCAGCCCCAAAATACTCAGCAAAAAACATCCACAAGGTAGTGCAACAGACCAGGGGGAAGGGGGGGGGGGGGGTAGAGAGAAGAGAGAGAAACAGCTGTCTATCCAGAGTGATAAACATCTTTTGCCATTACCACCTGATGCTGTGAGGACACACTGCACTGGCAGAGGCTGCCAAACGTGAATGCACTCTACCAAAATACCTATGTTGGCGGCAGTATGCAAGTGGAATTTTGGAGCGTACATAAGGGGTTAGGTCTCAATTTGAGCTGGTGACTGTGTGGTATAAAGGCTCAATCTTATTACCAATGCCAAGAACCACCTAGTACCCAACTTTCATCAGTTTTAGTCATTTACATTCAGATAAATAATTAATGACTAAGTATATCTAAAATCCAGAATGCCTAGCAGTCAAAATTAATCATATGAGATACATAAATATTGCTGTTATATTGGCTGCCCATAGGGACAGATAGAATCAGTACATGCAGACTTGGAACGGTTAGTGGCATTTCGTATACACTGTCAGTGCCAAAACCTGAGCATAAAGTGCTTTGACTCTGTGCAAAATGTCAGTCTCGCAGAGATCTGACCTTCCTTCTATCATTCGTTATAGTCAAAAGTGGCATTACATGCTTTTTGGCCAAGTCGTCAGCTAGACAAAACCACCCCAGCACACAATGCTCTCATACTCTTCATTGCCATGCAAAGGGTATGCATACCCTGACCCTACCCGGCACCACCCCAGAGATTCACAAGGATTGAGCCAGATCTGGGAACTTCACTTCACAATACCTGGTGTGATACCATCAACCGTGGTCAGTCTGGCTGGCCCAACGGTCTCCAGCATGCACGCTCTTGCTCTCACTGTGTGTGTGTGTGTGCTCGCGCGCGCGCACACGCGCGGTACTTAAAGATTACAGCTTTTGTGGACACTGGTTTAAGAGGGTTTGAGGTTCACGAAAATAAGAAAGGGAGACCAATTTCCTTCCAGATCTGTTGAAATTTACATTCTGGTTTACACCATGGTGACTGGCTTTCACTTTTGAATGAGTAACATTTTAGGAAGTAAAGATCCTCCCTATAATATTTATTGAAAGATAGAAACCGACAATTTTTTACTGCAGCTGAATCAGAAGTTCCTGTAAAACTGGTGAACTTGTATTGTGTGATCTTTTCAAGTCAACTTTCTGTCTCTCAGCTATTAGTGCCATTAAGGCCAAGTCCTTACTTTGCCTGACTGTATATATAGCAAGACCATGCTGCATCTATTGCTAGGTACTAGATGCATTTCACACGCACGTGAAAGTCAAAGCAAAATAAAGCTCAGTTACCATAGATTTCATACCTTCCCCTAGCCCCCTCTCTTAAACACCATTTACGACATTTTGAAAGTGTGTCAGAAGCCTTAAAGACTCTCACATACTATCCCACTCTTGGCGATGAGTCACAAAGTTTCACAAATGTGTCTGCTTTGTTTTTCCAGGCAGTTCTGCCCTGATATTTTGGGCTGATGCACAGTATGAGACCTTAATCCAAGCTATTTTGAGAAAAAAAAAATGTGAGTGAGCTTGGTGTCTCAGAATACACAGAGCGCGATGTGCAAAACCATGTGATCACAGGCATCGTACTAAAGTAAGTTCCTGCTTCTGCAAGCCACACTTAGTTTTGAGAAAGCTGTTCAATTTATTGTTGATGAGAGAACAAAGTAGAATTTCTCATTAGGAATCTCCCCCATCAATGCAGTACTCACCCTGGTGTGACAGCAGGTGGGATGACCAGTATTAGCTTAAATTGTGCTTCATGGAGAGCTTCCGAGAGGTGAGTGAGCAAATGAATCAGCTCCCTGTAATACACACACATTGTTAGGTGACAGGCAATAGATGTGGCAGGGTATCTGCATGAGTCATTTTAAAGTAAAACTCAAGGTAAAGACATGTAACAGGTAGTACACCCTATCTCTAAGATTTGTAACAGGTGAAACATTCTAGGCAGATTTGTCAAGGCATGCCCTTTTTCAGCATCATTAAGTGTACAACACTGCTGGAGGTACTCCTATATTTATAGTAGGTTATAGTGGAGCTAAAATTTTGCCATTTTTAGTTGTAATTTTAATTTTTCCATTTTCACATGTAAATTCTCAGCTGAAATGTACATTTTGGAATTTTCCCCTGGGACAGCTCCTGAAACACAAAGACATTGGTGTGCGTATGTGTATCAACTATATTCTGATCAGAAGGGGTTATCCCTTCAGTTCATGTTCAGTAAGAAGAGAGTTAAGCCAAGCAATAAAACTGAATGCTGTTCTGGAACAGACAGCCGTTGAACAGATTCAGATGGTCATTGTACTGGTGAACTTAAGGTTAGTGGAATATGTGAAGATGCCTTCAGCAAGCCATGCAATCTTCAAAGCGTTTTGAGGCCTCAAGAAAACGTGGATGTTTTTAGAAACCTTTCTACCTATATATTTTCTGTACTTTTTAAAAAAAAGTCACTCTGTATGCACAAAAAGCAGATTTTTGTTTCAAAAGAGGTCACTGACCCTGCCGTACCTGAAATTATCACCCTCTACTGTGGCACAATTTAAAGGTTTCCACAACAGCCATTTCTTATAAATGAATCACTAGGAGTGTGAGGTGGAAAATAAAGTCAAAGAAGCAGGTAAACTCTTAGGCCTGGTCTCCACTACACAGTTAGGTTGACGTAAGGCAGCTTACGTTGACCTAATAAAATCAGTGTCTACACTACAGCCTTGCTCCCACCAACATAAGTGTCCCACTACACTGACATAACAACTCCACCTCCACGAGAGACATAAGACTCACATCAGTATAGTTAAGGTGACGCTTGGAACGTTGGTAGTCCAGCTCCTTGTGGAACGGGGCGCTGAGAAGCCCCAGATGGCTCCCCTCCACAGCTCCCAGCAGCAAATGATGAGCAGAGGGGTGGCAGCCCACCAGGAGCCCGGGAGCCTGTAGGTCAGCTGCCATCGGAGCTGAGTCTGGGCTCTCAGCTCCCCCACTAACCTGAGAGAGGCAGTGTGAAGCACTCCTGGTGAGGATGTAAACCACTGACCCAAGGAGGGTAGTGTAGACAAGCACCACTGCAGTAATTACTGCAGTGGCTGTAAATCAACCTAATATAGGTCGACTTAAGTTTCTAGTTTAGACATACCCTTAAAAGATCCTCTTTTAGAAAGCTGCTATCATGTATAGAAGCAGAACTGTTGTTTTGCAGATACATTTGTTTATTCTTCAGTTCTCCCATGGAACACTGAGTGCAAGGATCAATCAGCTATACAGGCAGTGTCAAAGTATCTTCTAATACTGAAGTTATGCTGTAATTTTCTCACTGTTAGGTGAAGTGGATGATTTATCAGTAAACTACATAGAGATATGATGTAGAAATTAAGTTAAATGACTTAGCAGCTCAAGCAGAGTCCTTTATTACTTTCACTTCACAAATTAAATACTGTCCCTCTGTGTGTGTTCCTTAAGTCTTCGGATTCATCAAAACAAAGTCAACTTCCCTATTAGCAATAGGCAAGGTGGAAGCAGGCAGATGAGCTGAATAGGGAATTTAAAGTCTCTATAGTTACACCGCAAACCTACAGTGAACAAGTCAGAGGAAAGAGAAAATTCCTCAACCATAATACTATCTAAGAACACAGACTTCTAGAAATTGTGGTGCCAAATGGTTATTGCCGGAATCAAACCTAAATTACGCTGATACAAGAGGCACTTTGATGGTGCCTGTTTACTTATTTCGCTTACATTGAACAAGAAAAAGATTCCTACGATTTGAAGGTACACGAGTGGGAGGCAGGTCATTTAGCAACGGCAATCCTAAACTTCATTCCACTTACTCGGTTACATTAGAACTGAAGTCCCAGAAAGACTAATTTTGTGTAGAGTAATCTGCTCCAGCTGCATGATGGGAGGGAAGGAATCCACTCCTCCCTCCCCCACCCACATTTTTTTTTGTTTTTGGTTTGTTTTTTTAAGTCAATCATCCTCTCTATAGTTAAGATTTTCACTTGGGGGTAGATTGGCTACTGTTGCACAGTTATATGCAGGAAGAAAATCTCAGCACTTTTTCAGACAGCATGGCTAAAACTGCCTCTGGAGTTTGCCAATAACTCTGCAATCTCAGTTTTGGCAAAAGTGGCAAACAGGACATTCCTACTTTACTCCCAAGAGCCTAGCACACTGCTTCTGCAGCATCCCCACTCCTCTGGAGTTTACTTGAGACCTGGTTGCCTCTGGGCAAAACATTGCACTGAAATACCACTGAACCATTCCACTTGTCACTATCTTACATATACTCCCGCTCCCATCCAGAGGGAAACACTAGATTGCAAGGTTTCAGAGTAGCAGCCGTGTTAGTCTGTATCCGCAAAAAGAAAAGGAAGACTTGTGGCACCTTAGAGACTAACAAATTCATTTGAGCAGAGTGCCAGAAGGCCTCCTTTTCTTTTTACTAGATTGCAAGTAATCATGAGTGTCAGTTTTCTTCATTTGCCATATTTACCATCTCCATTCTCATTCTGGAAGAGTAAGAACTGCCTTTCCCATCCCTCAGTGTATGTATTCCACATTTTGAGCACCACTATCCTGTCAAAACAAGTCATTGATTTAAATACAGCATAAGAGAATCCCTACCCCAAGCTGTAGCCACCCTTTCCAAGAGTGACATTACCGCCACATCTTCACACACAAAAGTCAGAAGCTCCTGCCTTTTATATTCCTACCAACCAAAACATCTCAATCCCCCGTACCTGCCTCATCTCCCCCAAATACCTGTTGAGTCAACTGGACTTTGCAGCATAGCGGAGAGGTTAAATCTGGCCAGTTTTGAACCAAATATACTGGTGGAGTAGGGGAGATGGGGGATGATGCAAGTGAATACAAAAGCGAAAGGGTTCCCACGTAGGACACCTTGCCGGCAGTTCTCAGAGGGGCTGCAGCTCAAGGACACCTAATAACTGGTGCAGTGTGGTACGCAGAAGAGTTGATCCATCAGATAATCAAGTCCCAGATCATTTACTGTTTTATTGTGAAAAATCAGCGCCTTGTCCATCACCTAAATCCTGGAGTTATGTGCTTTTAATTTCCACTTCCAAATGGATGTAGAGGTGTAACCAGTGGTGAGCTGGACCAGGTTCACACCGGTTCACTAGAACCGGTTGTTAAATTTAGAAGCCCTTTTAGAACCGGTTCTAAAAGGGCTTCTGTCAAAGTTTCTTCCCGTCTCTGAACTCTAGGGTACAGATGTGGGGACCTGCATGCAAAACCCCCTAAGCTTATTTTTACCAGCTTAGGTTAAAACTTCCCCAAGGTACAAACTATTTTACCTTTTGTCCCTGGACTTTATTGCTGCCACCACTAAGCGTCTAACAAATATAACAGGGAAAGAGCCTGCTTGGAAACGTCTTTCCCTCCAAAATCCCCCCAAACCCTACACCCCCTTTCCTGGGGAAGGTTTGATAAAAATCCTCACCAATTTGCATAGGTGAGCACAGACCCAAATCCTTGGATCTTAAGAACAAATGAAAAAGCAATCAGGTTCTTAAAAGAAGAATTTTAATTAAAGAAAAAGTAAAAGAATCACCTCTGTAAAATCAGGATGGTAGATACCTTACAGGGTAATCAGATTCAAAACAGAGAATCCCTTTAGGCTAAACCTTAAGTTACAAAAAGACACAAAATCAGGAATTTACATTCCGTTCAGCACAACTTATTTTATCAGCCATTTAAACAAAACAGAATCTAATGCATATCTAACTAGATTGCTTACTGACTTTTTACAGGAGTTCTGACCTGCATTCCTGCTCTGGTCCCGGCAAAAACAACACACAGACCAAGAGAACCCTTTGTTTCCACCCCCTCCACCTTTGAAAGTATCTTGTCTCTTCATTGGTCATTTGGGTCAGGTGCCAGCGAGGTTATCTTAGCTTCTTAACCCTTTACAGGTGAAAGGGTTTTTCCTCTGGCCAGCAGGGATTTAAAGGTGTTTACCCTTCCCTTTATATTTATGAGGACTTCTAAATTTAACTACAGGCCAAAAGTGGCGCCTTCGGTGCCGACTCCATGGGTGCTCCGGGGATGGAGCACCCACGGGGAAAATTTGATGGGTGCAGAGCACCCACCGGCAGCTACCCGCCCCTCCCTGCCACCGGCCCCAGCTCACCTCCGCTCCGAATGCACCGCCCTGCTCTGCTTCTCCGTCCCCTCCCCCCCCCCGCTCCCGGCTTCCCACGAATCAGCTGTTCGTGCAGGAAGCCTGGGAAGGCTGAGAAGCAGGCAGTGGATTCGTGCTCAGGACCAGGGAGGCAGAGGCAGAGCGGAGGGGAGTTGGTGTTGGGGGGTGCAAAGAGGGCTACTCGCGCCGCAGCAGGTAATCTGGGGCGGGAGGCGCTCAGGGGAACCGCTTCCCACCCCAGCTCACCTCCACCTCCCTCAGCCCTCCCAGGCTTCCCACGCAAACAGCTGACTCGTGGGAAGACAGGGCGGGGGGGAGAGGCGGGTGGCAAAGTAGAGTGGAGTGGCGTGTTCAGGGGAGGAGGCGGAGGTGAGCTGGGGCCGGGCGCGGGACGGGGAGCTGCCAATGGGTGCTCTGCACCCACCAAATTTTCCCTGTGGGTGCTCCAGCCCCAGAGCACCCACAGAGTCAGCGCCCAAGGTTCCACTTTTGATGTGATCAGTGAGGGGAGCAGCTGCTCCCCCTGCTCCCCCCCAGCTATGCTCCCCTGCCCCTAGGAGCCAGAGGGACCTGCTGGATGCTTCCTGGGAGCTGCCCCAGGTAAGCACTGCCAGGAGTCCCCAACTCGCGCCCCCAGCAGGTCCC